CGCTTTGGCTCATCGTGATGTATTCGCTTCCTTATCTTTTCTTTTTGTCGGCTTGGTAGACATGTCCTTCACATAGATAACCTATGCCACATCATTGGCTAGGACGAACGGTTCGTCAGTGTACCCAAGATTGTTCAGATCCACTGTTTTCATTCCATACTGTGGGTCTACCTGTACCCCGCCTCCTGACAGATTGACCCATTTGCACTTAAACAAAGGGACCTTAAAATCATGTCCATAGTCAAGTTCCCATATGTCCACTATGTAACCATAATATGTGTCCTTTCCCCTCTCGGTTGCTGCATCAAAGAGGACACCACTGTTTTTGGTTGGTGCTCTTTTGATCTTGGGCGATCGTGTAAAATGCATTCCCATTTATCTCGTATCCTTTGTAAGTCAATACAGTCGAAGATGGTCCCCTGGACAACGAGTACATCTCATCACAAACAGTGTTGTCACCTTTGAGACGTGTTTCCAACCAACTGCTGAAAGTCCTGATGTTTTCACATGTAATACAGTCGTTGCACTGCTCCGGGTGTTTGGAGCGCAGACTGTTCTTCTGTTCATCGGCATACGGGGTCACCAAGGTAGAGTTCTGTAGAACTGTGTTGTGTGCTTGAGACCAAGAATATCCGTCCCTGCATATTATTGAGTCCCCTCCAAGCGTGCCTTTTCTAGCCAGTCTCCCCTCATACCGCGATTTAGGGAGACCTATCTTCTTAAGGCCAGGAATGAAGTCAATCCAAAACCCAATGACATCCTCTGTTTGATGGCCCATGGAGATGCTTCCTTCTTGCCTAGCGCGGTTATGGACATATTTCTTTAGGACTCCCACGAACCTCTCAAAGGGGTACATATTGTGTAGAAATACGGGGCCCAAAATGACAATCTTGTCAACTAGATGAACTAGGACGTGCGTCATGATATTCAAGAAGGATGCTGGGAACACCAGCTCGAAACTGATAAGACATTGCGCCACATCACTCCTTAGCCTTGGTATGATTTCTGGATTGATCACCTTCTAAGAGATTGCATTGAGGAATGCACATAGCTTCACAATGGCTAATCGGACATTTTTCGATAGAAGCCCCCTCAATGCAACCGGAAGCAGTTGTGTCATAATCACGAGGCAGTCATGAGACTTTAGGTTCTGGAACTTTTTCTCTGACATATTTATTATTCCCTTTATATTCGACGAGAAGCCAGTCAGGACCTTCATACTAAGCAGGCATTCAAAGAAGATTTCCTTCTCTTCTTTGGTAAGAGCATAGCTGGCAGCACCTTCATACTGCTTTGGAGGCATGCCGTCTTTTTCGTGCAAACGTTGCAGGTCCTCCCGTGCCTCAGCTGTATCTTTTATCTTCCCATACACGCCCAAGAAGCCTAGCAGGTTCACACAAAGGTTCTTCATCACGTGCATCACGTCGATCGAAGAGCGGACCTCTAGGTCTTTCCAGTAGGGTAGGTCCCAAAATATAGATTTCTTCTTCCACATGGGTGCGCGTCCCTCAGCGTCATTCGGAACAACTAGTCCGCTGGGACCCTTTCCAAAGATTACGTGTAAATCATTGACCACAGCAAGTACGTGACCACCGGTACGCATGGTGGGCTTCTTTCGGTGATCTTCCTCGCCTTTGAAATGCTTGCCTTTTTTTGATGTTGATGGTTGGTCGGAAGAAATCGACGATGGCTCAGGTACACATTCTTCCTGCGTTTGTCCAGGTATATACTTTCAGTGTCAGCTAAACAGTGCGTGCATGCGTAGTATCCCTTGTTTGTCTGTCCTGAAAGGTTACTGAGAGCGGGCTAATCGTTGATGGTTACAAACAGAAACGCATGCAGGTTAAATTCCTCCTGTCTGTGCTCATGCCACGCACGTACACCGTTTCCATTCCATAGCTGTAAAAGTTCTTCAACTAATGTCCTTAGGTACACATCAATGTCGTTGCCGGGTTGCTTAGGGCCTTGGATGAGAATTGGCATCATAGTGAACTTCCGCTTCATGCACATCCAAGGAGGAAGTTTATACATACATGGATTCACGGGTCAGGTGCTGTGATGCTATGCTCCCCGAAAGGATTAATGCCATCCGCGCTTAACGCAAACCATACGTTCCTTGGGTCACCTGCAAACTCAGCCCATTACTTTCTCTCGATTTTTCTCCACTGCGACCCGTCAGTGGGTGCTCTCAACTTCCCGTCTTTCTTACGGTCCTCACTGTGCCATCGCATCAACTTGGCATGCTCTTTGTTTCTGAACAGTCGTTTCAACCGTGATATTATAGGAGCATACCACATCACCTTCGCAGCAACCCTCTTCCTGCGGGGCTCACAGTCAACATCACCAGGGTCATCTCGTCTGATCTTATACCGTAACGCACCGCATACCGGGCATGCATTCAAATCCTTGTACGCATCGCGGTAGAGGATGCAGTCATTAGGGCATGCATGTATCTTCTACACCTCCAGTCCTAGAGGGCATACGACATTCTTTGTTGTGTATGTACTGTCGGACAATTCGTTATCCTTTGGAAGCTTCTTCTTCAATATTTTCAACAGCTTCTCAAATCCTTTGTCAGGCACAGCATTCTCTGCCTTCCACTGCAGCAATTCCAGTACGGTACCGAGCTTTGTGTTGCCATCTTCGCAATTGGGGTACAACCCTTTTTTGTGATCCTCTAACATGCGGTCGAACTTCAGCTTCTCCTTTTGACTTTCGCATTGCGTCCTTGCATCGACAATGACCCGGCGGAGATCATCATCATCGGGCACATCGTCTGGTTCCTCTTGATCTTCAGCAGCTTACCCCGTTGCAGCATCATCGGGCACATCGTCTGGTTCCTCTTGATCTTCAGCAGCTCCCCCCGTTGCAGCATCACCGTATTCAGGGGGCACGTAGTTATCATCGTCCTCTAACATCATAACCACTATTTCTCCGTGCCTCGTCCAAACATTATAGTGTGGCATGAAACCCTTGTAAACAGGTGGGTGTGCAGGATTTTCCGGTTAGAGTAAGACATCGTATTCCCACATTTAGGGCATGGACAACATATAAAACCATTCTGCTTGTTTGCCTCAGCCACTTCGAGAAATTCATGCACGCTCTTAATGTTCTCGGAGGTGTGTCTGTCACCGTACATCCATTGTCGGTTCATCTACGTGCATTATATATAATTATGTGTGTCAAAAGTAAAAAAAATCAGACAAGTATCTATCTAAAGTAAGAAAATCAGAAAGAAAATAAGAACAAGAGGCTCACCACGATGGTGCCGGTGACGAGATCGTCGCGGGCGATCAACGGCGGTGAAAAAGGGGACGGGGCATGACGGACCGCTAAATCTAGACAAATGTCGGGAAAACTGGAGCTCCAAGGTCGAGCTTCAAGAGGAGAAAGCTTAACTAGTGTCGCTCGGGCATTTCATTGAACACCTCATGTGCATAGGAGGTGAGCTAGAGCACCCAAATGCCCTCCCCTCGCCGGCCAGAAAAAACAGAGCACTGTGGAGTGCTCTGCTGCAGCAACGGGTATATATAGGCAACTTATTTGTCCCTGTTCGTCGCACGAACCGGTAATAATGCCCCCACTTCTGTCCCGGTTCTAGGAACAAAAACCGGTACCATTGGTTGTGGGCGAGTAATGCGGCCATTGGTCCCGGTTCATGCCTAGAACTGGTAAAAATGGATCTAGACGAATCGGGACCAATGCCCACGAGGCCCTGGCCGGCCCCCGGGGCTCATGAACCGAGACTAATGCCCCCATGGGTCCCAGTTCGTGAAGAACCGGGACTAATGGGCTGGCCAGGCCCGAACCAAAGCCCTGTTTTCTACTAGTGTTAAAATGATTGTAGCCTATTTGACAAATGTTTGTCACACATTTGGAAAATGTTCATCAACTGTTTGTAAAAATGTTTCACCGCATATTATAAAAATGTTCATTGCTTAATATAAAAATGTTCATTCCGAAGAAGAAATGAGGAGAGAATCAGAGTAACAGAACAACCGGATAGTAACCCTAAGGAAAAAAAATCTCAAACAAAATATATCGGAGTTCAAACAAAAAATACACCTAATATTTTAGGCTATGATATGTGTTTCTCAAAACACTTCATTACATTTTTAAAAATGCAATAGGATAATGCCCGTGCGTTGCAACGGGATATAAATATTCTAGGACATTAGCGCATAATTTGCATGCCCCAATTAATTGTGTAACCAAATATGAACAAATCCTGCATGTGATTGTGCAATAAATGTTTAGCAAATTTTGCCCGTGATTTTTTAGAAAAAAGGGCACTTCCCTTCGTTCACAAATATAAGATGTTCTAACTTTTTTTTCTAAATCAGATGTATATAGACACGTTTTAATGTGCTTCTTCACTCATTTGAGTCCCTTTGTAGGCCAATCAAAATATCCTAAACATCTTATATTTGTGAACGAAGTGACACATGTCTATTGAATGTACATAGTGCGTAACCGTGAATATAGACGCCTACTAAGGAGAGAGTTACATAAGCAAGAGATGAGGTACACGTTACAACTGCCATTTCGGATAAGCAAAAAAGTTACATGCTACAACAGAAAACGGCTATATGCCTATCGAGTCGTGCGAAGTGGCCACACGATCATCGTTCATGGGGCGCACACGCTGTCATGGCTTCTGTGTGGATAGATCCAGGTTGTTTCGGCAACATAGCTAAGTAGTTGCATGCAGAGAAACCTATATGAACAAGCAACCTAGAGTGTGTGTTTCCTAGATGATGGACTGTTGGGAATGTAAGTGTTGAGATGTAAGTGTTGTAATGTATCACTCTGGCAGTAACTCTAAACGCATGACAGACTGCATGGAGTCAATGTTTTTTGTAGTGTGTAGGCTTATCTTATTGAGTACCTATATGAACAAGCAACCTAGAGTGTGCATTACCCTGATGATGGACTACAACATGTCATGTAATCGTGCGTTGCAAATTACAGTACTAGTTGATGTGATGAGCATGGATGTATCATAGCATGTGCTCAACCACTATACTTATGGCCTCCGGCCCTCCTCGCTCCAGCAGAGAGTGCGCAAGATCATGCTCATGCCATTTCTTAAGCCCCGAGGCCAATTTCTGCAGCGTCTTGAGCGGCACCTGAGGGATCCACGCTGGCACAAAGTCGACAAGCAAACCCACAAAACAGAGAACATATGCCCTCCATGTTGCCTGACCACAACCAAGATCCATGTTGCCCTCCATTACCATGGATATGAACTCCAAGTGCATGCCTACAATCCGTTGCCTCTTTGATGGGTGTACCGAAGTGTAAACTGGGGGGTTTTCTCCAATTCCCCAAATGCTGGCCCCAGACAAGAGGAGAACAAACGCCAAAGCAAATCCTTCGAATATGCTGCACAACGATCCGACAGAACCCAGTTTCCTATCTCCAGGTGAAAGAAGCAAAGTTGGTACAATCTGATCGTACATGAGATGGATCAACTTCACCCCACCAGCATGACAAAGCATAGTTGCTGCAAGTGATGCTATCTGCTCTACGGAGGATAATGCACAAGATATTGACATCCGGCCTGACATCAGATAAGAAGGTCCATTGATATCACAACCACATTCATTTGCTAATGCATGGGCTCTCTCAATGACAACCTTGAAGATCTCTTCACATACAAAATTATTGTCGAGAAACATCCCACAAGACCGCATGTAAAGACATCCAGGTGATATAGAAAGCCGGCAACCGCTTTGACCGGGAGACTGCCCCATCAAATTAATGACTCCTCTGGTCGCTACAAAGCAAGATCGTCCATTAACCAGCGGCCCAAGAAAAGATGTGAAGCAACTCCTGATAAGTTGAGCCACTGCATTGTTATCTCGGGTAAAGGGGACTCGGAACATGTTAGGATAATAAAATCATGCCACCGTCGAACATTCTGTGACCACAATGCCCCTACAATTGGCATGCTTGGCCATGAACTTGATGTAGCACAAACTTCCAATCCGTGGCCCATGATTCCTTGTAGGTCACTAAATTCCATCTTAACTGTTATAGATAAGCTGATAAGAGCTGCTATTGGTAATGGAAGCATTGGCATAACCGATCCTGAAGAGACATTAATTGATCATTAGTGGTTCCATGATATGAGGGTTACATTCAAAGAGCTTTCGATGGTCCCCAATAATGTTTCTGCCTATATTAGAGATAAATTTGCAGCATCCAAAGCCTTAAAACAAGATAGTGTGTTGTTGACATACTACATTAGGTACACCATCCAATTGAGATTCGCAAGCAAAAATACAACAGTGAAGAGGGTAGTGAAATAACTGATATCTATACCTAATTCATTCTTATGAGTTTTGTAATGTGTATATTACTAAAGTAAAGTCAAGATTACGCATAGTATATCGTTCACTGATATACATTTCCTAGAAAAAGTCCAAATTAAATTTATAAATATCATATAATGAGCATACGCTAGTTTACATTTGAACTTAGAAACTAAACAAAAACTCAAGATTAATATCCATACTACTGGTGTCTTATACTCTGAAATTTTAGCCCAATATCGACATTTGTAATAATATATTTAGAGTTGCAAACAGGAAGTAAGTTGAACTATTTTCATGTAAACATTCATTCATCAGATGAAGATCAGTTAGCAAAGACTTTGAAGTAGAATTGCACTAGCTACTAGGTTAGTGAGGCAACCAATTATGTGAAGAATGAATCTAGAACAGACGGTCAAGGGAAAGACCAAGGAGGACTTTACCAACTAAAGAGACTTTCGTTAATTCATCTTTGATTCATCAAAGAAGATACAATGCATTCAACAACTTCTTTAATTTCAATAGCTTACCACAATGAACAAAAGATGAGAGTTATGCCTATATAATAAAAATGGAAAAGTTATATAGTCAAACAGATTAAATATTGCGTGAAAGGAACGATTGAGGTGGAGATAACAATGGGAGTTCTAATTAAAGAAGAGTTCTCGCTTTCAATAACCAACAACGGTGCCCAAACCTTGTCTGATAATATCTCCTCGAGTTCGACAACACACCTGAATGGTATTGATCGAGTTCTTTATTTATTTATTTGAATCCTTATATTTTATGACTTCCAAAGGTTCCACTATAAAACAATTAAATGCTAACACTAGTGATATGTCAGCTTAAAATGTTATGTGAATCTTAAGAAATTGATGTTCCGAGTAATGATTGGTCATTGTACACAATTTTGTGACCAGATACTATCAGGTAGGTAAGTAATATTAGTTTAAGGCGGTCGTTTAATGTATACATGTTTCAGATTTGGCTCCCGAAATTGCGCATTAAGGATAAGTGGGTAAAAACAGAATATTGAGCAACATTCATGACGTCATGTGTAACTTGCGTTCGACATGAAAAATGGAAATAACGAGGCATCAATCTAGAAAAAAATGAATCATTAAGGGTAAATAAGTTAATAGACATCAAACATGAAAATTTGAAATGAAAGTAGTCTCTCCGTAGGAAATAGAACAAAATCATTTGCATAAAGAGATGGAGAAAGGGCATACGTGGTTGTGGAGACATGTTGATATGAACACCAACAGATGCAAGAACTTCTTTTATGTCAGACTCAACTGCTAGAATAGTTGCTGCTGGACTGGGCCAGTCAGTACCGTTCAATATAACTGGCTTCCATATGCCACGTGTAATTTCTGCTGAAAAGAAACTTACAATAGCAGCAAGTGAAGCAGGTAGGAAATCAACAAGGTCTCTCAGACCTGCAATTAAGACTGATGGTATGTGATAGTAAATATGCAGGGGTAAATGTATACTTCAAAATACCTTTGGCAGCTTTTCGAATGATCATAAAAAAAGTAACTACACATAATTGGAGCTTGGGAAATGAATTATTCTTCTACAAGATCATAATATAAATCTGAAAGGTCCATATAACCCCCTAAACCTTGTGAGAAAAAGCCTACTTGACCCCCTCCACTCTCCAAACTAGAGCAAACGTCAACTTAACCTCCTAAACTTTCCAAAAGCCAACAAGTACTGGTTTGGAAGGTAGTTTTGCCACAGAATGTATCAGATGGCCGAATTCCGCCATGATGCAAAATATTCTATACACATCACCCAACTCCACATATATAGTTGGACGGAAAAAATTAACATCTATCGCATGACAATTTGCAAACTCTCCTATTTTCCAAACCCAACCAAGTTTTTCTTCTTTTTGACTCATCATCCGCAACATCTTTTAGTTGCTCTAATGTGACAAAACCAGCTTACAATGCCATCCTACATGGCAAGACCACCATTAGGAGATTATGTCGTATCAAAAAGATTAGGTGGCCAATGGGTAAAGGGGAAATTGCTAGAAAGTTCTAAGATTATCTTGATATTCTATATTGTGAATATACATTAGTCAAAAAGTCATCGGAGATTATAACTTGACTAATATGGTTTGTTTTGGAGACACACAAAGAGAAGCCTAAAGCCAAGTTATATGTGTTTATTGGTTAATAATCTAGAATTTAGGATTTTGCATGAATATTCATAAAATAGGATTTTTAAACTTACTTTACCCTTATAATAAGTATTGAATAAAATGAGCAATTTTAAAATTAAAATTTGAGACTTATGCAAATACTTGGCTGGTAAGTAAGTTGAAATGCTGAGATTAAACAAAAAAAGCTTCTATTTTGTTTTTCATAAGGAATTAAATCAATCATTGACCATGGCAAATATCTTGAATTATGCATGGACAGAAGGTTTAATTATCCAAATTGGAGAGATTTATATTTTTTCCAAATAAAGAAGAAGTTATTGTTGTATTGAACAATAGCTTAAAGGGAAAAAATGGGAAACTAAAGTTATTATTATAAATAAGCCTAAAAAGAATATAACCTGTAATCAAATCACGAGATGAAAACCTCTCATGTGCACATGCCATTAAGACAGTCTCAAGTACAAAGGGAACAACTTCCAGAACTTCCCATGGAGTAACAGGTGGCCCTTCAGAACCATCTTCTTGTGCACCTAAAGGTGAGCCACTCATACTTGAATTTGATGTTGCTTGTAGATTGACAAGTGGGTTACAACCTTTTGTCATTTTCCGACATACAATTCCAAGTATCTTGTTTGCAAGTCGGGGGATGCTCTTCCTCTCGTAAGCACTAGAAATAGTAGAGGATATGCAAGCCTGATTCTGGAAATACCATGCCCTTAGCTTAGGAAGTGAATCAATGTAGACAGGTTTTTCAAATGATGGATCTAACTGAAGTGTGCTCACTGTACAACCATTAGATGGATTTTTCAAAGCAAGACGACTATTGCGTAATAGCAAAAGATGGTCTAAATTGAGCTGGCAAGCAGAGACTCCATTTCCTGATAGAGCATTCTCGATAGGTGGCCTATGAAATTTCCACAAGCGAAGAAGGAGCAAGAAAGCACTTGAAAATATAGAGTACGCAGAAGCATCTTCGAAATTGAAACTCCGATGGTCAGATTTAGGTAAGGATCCAAATATTTCACAGAGAGGCATCAATATGGCAGCTAGTTCTGGTACCTAAAAATCAAAATGTTGTTAGTATAATGGTTTTTTAATAAACATGCCTTCCTATAAACAAAGGTGCGCACATGCTGCCCAGGTGTATACATCAGATAGATTGTTTTTCTTACCAATCCATAGATTGAGAGAATATGAACAGTGTCAATGGAAGAAATCCCAGATAAGAGAGAAAGCAACATAGTCATGTGATGAGTAGTATAGCCATCTGATCCAGAATCTTGGGAAAGCAATGTTGATAGCAGCTCAAGCACAATTTGGACAACATGTTCCTAGTGAGCAAAATGTGGCACAACAAACCAATTTTAAGAGTATCATATAGGGATACAACTCTGTTCAAACTGAACAATGTACACTCTTTCTTGCTGTTGTATGTAGTATAGTCATTTCAAATCAAATCATACTTGAATGTTCCACCCACGAAGAAAGGATGCCCCGCATAGAATCTTTGAAGCCGCCAACTTTTCCACTTCTGATCCATTTACTGCGAAAAAATGCAATTTCTCCAACTCTGGTACACTAAGGTAACAAAATAGCAATATTGCCATGAGTCCCGCTAGTGAACAAACATATAAACCCAAAGGTGCATGTTGAATTATATTTAAAGTAATAGCGAGACATAATTCATCACTTTGAAGCAGGTGTAACCATAAGGTCATCCTTAAGACCCATCAGCGGAGACCCTTCCATCAAGGCTCACCAAGGGGACTGATGGACAGGAGAGAAGTCTTTAACATGAACAACATAGCCCGGACATAAATAAATGGATGTATCGACTAAATTTCTTGCTATACAGGCTTCCACAAACAGATGTAACATATTCCCAACTGCAATTTGAAACATTATTACGAGATCAGTTTCACTACTTACTACAAAGAAACTACATAAATGACAGATAGTAAATGTAGAAGTATATGTTACAATAACCTACTTTAACAGAGAAACTATCTTTCAAAGAATTGTGAATGTTCTCACTCCCAGCCTTCAAACTATATACAGCAATCGCTGCTTTCGTAGCTGCAATATTTGTTGCATGTACAGTTGCTGGAGGGGGTGAAAGAAGTCCAAAAAATTGCCCCAGAACTTGTAGAGAAGACATTAATTCTTCTATTCTAATAGAGGCCACTCCCGGCTCGACATTGTTAGCATATTCCTTCAAAATGGGAGCAATAGCCAAAGGAACAATAGCTAACAACATGCATAATCGAGAATCAAGATGAGGAAGCGGTCCTTCCAGAGTGCTTGGGTCCTAGCAAACATAAGAAATTTTTCCATTAAAGCTAATTCTCTAGGGTTCTCTTTTTAGTAAAGTAAAATATATTAATCCAAGTTATCT